AGAGAGAGAGAGAGAGAGAGAGAGAGAGAAAGAAATTAAAGTAATTTTGATAAAAAAAAGTCAACAACAAATGGATTTTGGTTGTTATTGAAAGTAAGTATACCTTAAAAATGGTTCCCGTATAAATTAAAGAACAAAAGTGGTTCATGTATTACACCACTATTATAAAAAGTATATATATATATATATGAGAAAAATAGGTATGCTTGGTACCAAGCACAAATTTGGTGCTTGATAGTGCGGTGATATATTCCCATCCACTCATTTTGGTAAGCACAAGTTTGAAAAAACCTTTCTATGGTCAATATTAACTTTCACTATTTTGAATATGTCATTTATATCTATCCTAATCATGGTGAATTATCTATACCTTGACAATTTAAAAAATAATATTAATAAAATATATAAAATATCTTTGTGGTATTAGTTTGTTAAGATAAACAAATTATACGTAGATAACATATTATAATAGATGAAGTATTGCAAAAAAACCTAAAAAGTTTTAAAACTACATAAAATACCCTAAAAGTTCAAAATTATAAAAACCATCACAACGTAACAAATATGAAAAGAAATTAACACCACTTTGTGAAGCATTTAAAATTTGCAATTAATACCTTAATGTCTCAAAAATCATAGAAACACTCTCAAAAGTTTAAATTACAAACAAGCACCCTAAGATCAGGAGTTACAATTTGAAAACTTTCATGTAGAACGATGAATGTTACAATCTGACGACCTTGATAACAACCGATGAAAGGTCTAATTCAATAGCCTTCACAATCAATATCGGGAGTTACAATCTGATGACTCTTATATTTTCAAGGAGCCAAGACAAAGGTTACCGGATGACGATTTTTGCAAGGCTCTAGCAAAAGAGACTAAAAATTGACGGTCTCTTCAAATCAAAACGCAGATATGTCTCAAACCGTAAGAAATTTGGCAAAACGAATGGGAGAAAACCGAACCCTTTGGGTTGGTTTGGTCGGCTTCGTCTTGTCGAAATAGTCGATTTTCATATATAATTTGTCTAATTCCATCTTACGGTTTGAAAGTTATGACCTGTTATTCGCAGCAAGTTATGCTCTGAAGTCTGTCTGTAAGACTGGACTTCGCCTGAACATGAGACTTTGCCTGAAGCTCGCCAGAGTCTCGCCTCTACGTTCTATAGTGAAAACGACGCAACCACTGCGTAATCTATCTGCAAACGTAGCTCAAACCCAGCCGCAAACGCAACTCAAACCCAGCCGCAAACGTAGCTTCCAAATGCTGCCAACGCAGCTTCCATACGTTGCAAATGTAGCTTCCAAACACTACAAATGCAATTTTCAGACGTTGTAAAAGCAGCTTCCTAATGTTGCGTTCGAACGCAGAATTCGTTCCTAGCAACATAGAACCTGCGTTTGACTCGTCCAAACACGAGTTGAACGGTGCCAGAAACCATTTTCTCCCCACGATTTGAGGGATTTCTGCCCCATTTAGGAGCGGATTAAGTGGGCGGTACACCCCTTAATCTCCTATAAATAGCTAAAATTTTAGCTTAAGAGAGGATGAGATTTGGGGAAATGAGGGCAATTTTGCAAAGAGGGGATTTGGCAGAGGCTTTTGGGATCTTCGGTAATCTTGGAGCTTCGATAATCTTGAGCAATCATTCTTGGAGATTCTGAACCTTTGGAGCAAGATCTTGATTATAAACCGATTTTCGGTTAAATCAATTAACTCTTTTACAGAGTTTAAACTCGCACTGAGTTATTAAACTCGTTAAGAGTTATTTTCAAACTTGCCACGCAAGTTCGTCCAAGACTTCGAGTCAAGAGGTAAAGACAACGTTCCACGAGGTGAAGAGTTCGGATCGTCAACGGAAAACAAACTCGACACGAACATCGAGGGAGGCATTCCATCGACACCAAGAAGAACTCAGGTTAAACAAAGGGAAAAGTCTCCGTCGATTTTTCTCTCTTTTGTAAATCGGGAATCCGATCGAGAAGATTTATGATTTCTTTTTCTAAGTCTGTTAGAGAGAAATTATATTGAGAGAATTATAATTAATTCTTTTTCTAAGTCTGTTAGAGAGAATAATACAAATTCGATTCTCCATTTTCTTCTTCAATTTTTCCACAAAATAAAGTATTGCAAAAAGATCCTAAAAAGTTTTAAAATTACACAAATTACCCTAAAAAGTTCAAAATTATAAAAATCATCCCAACGTAACAAATATAAAATCAAGAAATTAACACCAGTTTGTAAAGAATTAAAATTTGCAGTTAACACCTTAATGTCTCAAAAATCATAGAAACACCATCAAAAGTTCAAAATTACAAACGAGCACTCTAAGATTCTAAAATTTCAAAACTTACAAACAATATAAATGAATTCAATCGATTACCATGATGCACTTGAAAATTTCTGATATTTTAAAACTTAAAACAAAAAACATAAAATCAAGAAATTAACATCAGCCTCTGAAGAATTTAGAATTTTCAATTAACACCCTCAATATCTCAAATATTATAGAAACACCACTCAAAAGTTTAAATTATAAAAACCATCCTAAATTCTAAAATTTTAAAATTTGCAAAAAACAAAAGATGAAATCAAGAGATTACCCTCAGGCACCTAAAATTTTAAAATTTACTCAAATTAACCTCAAAGCTACAAAAATTATAAAAAAACTCCTTTAAAATTTAAAAATTACAAAAACTCTAAAATTTAAATAATTTATAACTAGTAGATATCAAATCTAGAAATTATTGGAAGCCCGCTAAAATTTGAATTTTTTAAAAAATTAACTATAATTTTAAAAATTCCAAAAAGCACCCTTAAAACTTTAGAGTTGGAAGAAATATCCTGATATTTAAAAATTACTACCGATATATGAAACATAGAAGTTACAACTACCAAACTTAAAAGTAATTTTTTTAATAAACACTCCTAAAGTTTTAAAATTTACAAATCACAACCTCAAAGTTCAAAACCAAAAAAAGGGAAATTTTTTTAAAACTTGGCAAAGAAATGTATAATTGCTTAGTGTTCTTCCATCAAGAATATATATATTTAACATTAACTTTTAGCTTATTGGTTTTAAATACATTAACTTTTAGCTTATTGGTTTTAAATATTCAACTTCCTTGTATAACACTATCTCAATATTTTTTATTTTTACAATACTGTACTTTCTCAAGTAAAGCATGGTTTCATGTCAGTTAAAATAATATAAAAATTTAAATTAGCTTCAAATTATATTTGTTTTCTGTCAATTCAAATATCAACATGAAAACTTAAATTAGGTATAACTTAATTAAACAAACATCAAAGAAAATAAATAATTGCAATAATAAAGTTTAGAGATAAAAGTAAGCACAAACTATTAAAGTTAACTGAGGAACAAATTGACAAAAGTGATTACAAACTATTAAAGTGGAACTGAGGAACAAATTTTAGTTAGAAAATATATCAAAAATACTTAATCATGATATTTAACCACGTGACCAGGGCTACAGGTATACACGTAGAATTACATAGAACTTAAAATTGGAACTGGGATAATCTATAAGATAAAATTTTAAGGTGTTAGTCATATAAACCTAAAACTAGAACAAAATTTTACAGTGTTAGTCAAGTAGAACTCTAACAAAACTAGAATTGGGATAATGATATAGAATTATCCCACTTTTTTATTTTTCTATACAAAAAGGAGAGTTCTAGTCTCTCAAATTATTCCAAGTTTTAGCTTGAAACTAGGTGGTAAAAAACTAGAACTCATATTTATTTTGTTATTTTTTATTTTTATATTTTTTCTTTACTTCTTTCCTATTATGGGTATCATCATCATTAGATCATCATTATAAAAATAATTGTTAATATCTTATAGTCTAACCAAAAGTTATTTAATAGTAAGACCAGGGCTACAGGTATACACGTAGAATTACATAGAACTTAAAATTGGAACTGGGATAATCTATAAGATAAAATTTTAAGGTGTTAGTCATATAAACCTAAAACTAGAACAAAATTTTACAGTGTTAGTCAAGTAGAACTCTAACAAAACTAGAATTGGGATAATGATATAGAATTATCCCACTTTTTTATTTTTCTATACAAAAAGGAGAGTTCTAGTCTCTCAAATTATTCCAAGTTTTAGCTTGGAACTAGGGGGGTTAGTCACCTAGAACTTAGAATTAGAACTGAGATAATATGTGGGATAAATGTTTAAGGTGTTAGTCACATAGAACTAAATCTAGAATAAAATTTTACAGTGTTAGTCAAGTAGAACTCTAACAAAACTAGAATTAGGATAATGGTACAAAATTATCCCACTTTTTTTATTTTTCTATACAAAAATGAGAGTTCTAATCTCTCAAATTATTCCAAGTTTTAGCTTGGAACTAGGTGATAAAAAACTAGAACTCATATTTATTTTGTTATTTTTTATTTTTTATATTTCTTTTTTTTCTTTACTTCTTTCCTATTATGGTTATCACCATCATTAGACCATCATTATAATAATAATTGTCAATATCTTATAGTCTAACCAAAAGTTATTTAATAGTAAAGAACATTCTTGTAAGCAATTATCAATCAATAATAGTAAGTTTAAAATACATAATTAGTATTTATATCTTCAAAATACATAAATATATATTTCGTGATTATAAAATTTATCCCATGTTATTTTATCAAAATATCCGCTTTACAAAATTGTTCCTATTTATCCCACAAAAATATCCCACTACCAAAAATTATTTCATTTTAACAATTATCCCATTTTGTATGAAAATGTTCAAATTAATTGACTAACACCCCCTAGGTGGTAAAAAACTAGAACTCATATATTATTTTATTTTTTTATTTTTTATATTTCTTTTTTTCTTTACTTCTTTCCTATTATGGTTATCATCATCATTAGACCATCATTATAATAATAATTTTTAATATCTTATAGTCTAACCATAAAGTTATTTAATAGTAAAGAACATTCTTGTAAGCAATTATCAATCAATAATAATAAGTTTAAAATACACAAATAGTATTTAAATCTTCAAAATAATTATATATATATATATATATTTATAAAAATTTATCCCACATTATTTTATCAAAATATATCGTTTCACAAAATTGTTCCTATTTATCCCACTAGCGAAAAATTATTTTACTTTAACAATTATCTCATTTTGCATGAAAATGTCCCAATTGACTAACACCCCCTTGGACATATTTAGCAAATCGACGAATCAGAGGGTTAGCCTATTCAATCCATTAGATACCGTAACTCCAACAAATTAATATGTCAAAATCCTTCTCCTTGGCCAAAGCTTCTTGAGAGAACTTGTCAGTGTACTAAAGTATCAATTGCAGCGATGTCTCAATCAACAATTTCTGCAATTTTCTTCCTCCTCTTGCTATTCACCTTCTCCCCCTCACGATTAATCCAATCTTTCCCGATGAAACTCAAGACTCATCTACTCGAAAATGTGAAGTGTGTCATGTTTTGCAAATGCAACTGTGGCTTTCACCGAAACTTCGAAAAATGTCAAGGATTTGCTGTTAGATCTAATAAAAACTTGAGATCTAAAACCATAAAGTCATGATTGAATTCAAAGAGATTAAAAAGAATCAAAAGGTGCGGAAGCATATACCTGAATCCATTGAAGAAAACTTGATTAGGGTTTTGATGATCTTCTAACCTTAGGGTTTCTCTCTTATGGATCTCTTTAGATGGGGATAAGAGAATGAGAGTGGTTAACCCTAGATTAGGGACCATAACCCCTTATATATAGGTGTTGTACATTTGTAATTTGGCCCCTCATCAAATTACAATTACAACCTGGTATCTACACATATAACCCCCATGATTTATTTAAATACCTATTAACCCAAATTGATTGATCACTTTAAGTGGGTTATCCTTAAAGATAGTAATACACATTGATTAATCATATGTGCCCACAAATAGATTTAATTAGATTTAAATCCAACAATCTCCCACTTGGGCACCATATGATTCCTTAAATTGTGTATAACCTTATGAGCTCAAAATTACTATCATTAAAAAGATATTTCCAAACAATCTCGTCCATTGACTATATCAATATAGGATCAAAGCGGCCTTTGTCACATTTATCGTGACTCGACCCATCAATGGTCACATATACCAATACAATCAAACGACATAGATCAATCATGGATGTGCAGCATGAAAATTACATGCAATGTGATCAATACATGTCTATTTTCAACTGGTCCTCCTTTAGTGAGGTCAAAACCAAACATAATGTAACAGAGTGTCTTAACTGAATACTTTATTCTGATCAGACAATACAACCAAACACAAAGCACCAGAAAATTATAAACTCCCACTAAATCAGGATATCCTTGAATAACACCACACCCATATGAGTAGTATGCTCATGAAAGACCTTGGATGGCAATCCTTTAGTAAGAGGATCTGCTATCATGGAGTTTGTCCCAATGTGCTCTATAGATATCTGTCCACTCTGTACCCTTTCTTTTACAACCAGGAACTTAATATCAATATGTTTTGACTTAGTTGAGCTCCTGTTGTTATTGGAATACATTACTGCAGATTTATTGTCACAATATAACCTTAGTGGTCTTTCAACATTTTCCAAAATGCGCAGTCCCGTGACAAAATTTCGCAGCCATATTCCCTGATTGGATGCCTCATAGCAAGCTACAAATTCTGCTGCCATAGTGGAGGAAGCTACTAGTGTTTGTTTGACACTTTTCCATGATATAGCTCCTCCTGCTAACATATAAATGTAGCCTGATGTAGACTTCCTGCTATCTTGGCATCCAGCAAAATCAGAGTCCGAATACCCAATGACCTCTAATTTCTCTGATTTTCTGTATGTGAGCATGTAATCTTTTGTTTTCTGAAGATACCTCATAACCCTTTTGACTGCTATCCAATGATCCATACCAGGGTTGCTTAAGTATCTGCCTAACATCCCAACAATGTACGCAATATCTGGACGCGTACATACCTGAGCATACATTAAACTTCCTACAGCCGAAGCATAAGGAATCTTCTGCATTTCCTGAATTTCAAGGTTGCCTTTAAGGGCACTGATTTAGACTAAACTTGTCTCCTAGGGCACTGATTGAGACTAAACTTGTCTCCTTTAGCAACAGGGGTGTCACCTGGTCTGCAATCTTGCATGCCAAACCTTTTAAGTACCTTATCGATATAGCTCTTTTGTGATAATCCAAGAATACCCCGAGAGCGATCTCGATGTATCTGGATCCCTAATATAAAAGAGGCGTCCCGAAGATCTTTCATCTCAAAATTCTTTGATAGAAATCTCTTGGTTTCGTGCAACATGCCTATATCATTAGTGGCAAGCAATATGTCATCAACATACAGAACCAGAAAAATATACTTACTCCCACTGAACTTGTGATATACACAGTCATCAACAATGTTCATCTCAAAACCGAACGAGATAACTATTTGTTGAAACTTATGATACCATTGACGAGGAGCTTGCTTGAGTCCATAGATGGATTTCCTTAATTTGCAGACCATATTCTTTGGGTCTCCCGACACAAAGTTTTCTGGTTGCACCATATAGATCATCTCATCAATGTCTCCATTGAGAAATGCAGTCTTAACATTCATCTGATGTAACTCAAGATCATAATGAGCAACAAGTGCCATGATTGTTCTGAAAGAGTCTTTCAATGAAACCGGAGAGAAAGTCTCTGTATAATCAATACCTTCCTTTTGAGTATAATCTTTAGCCACAAGACGTGCCTTATACCTCTCCACATTACCATTTGTATCCCGCTTAGTTTTAAAAATCCATTTACAACCAATTGGTTTTGCACCTTCTGGTAACGGGACAAGTTCCCAAACCTTATTGTCTTGCATAGACTTGTACTCTTCATTCATGGCATCAATCCACTGTTGAGAGTTAGAACTTTTCATGGCCTGAGAGAAGTTGATTGGATCATCTTCCAACATTCCACTACTTTCCTCATATTCTTGGAGAAATACAATATAATCATCCGGAATAGCATTTCTCCTTTCTCTCGTGGATCTCCTTAATGGCACTGGTTCTTGAGGTTGTTGAGTTTGTTCTTCTGGAACAGGGAGTTGTTCAACATTATCATATTGAGGTTCCGGATTTACTTCTTGAGCAACAACAGGTATAGGAACCTGAATATTGTCAAAAGTAACTGTATGGATTGGATCTGAAGCCAATTCCTCCTCAAAACTAATGTTTCTAACCTTATTTCTCCCCCAAAACTCAACATCCTCAAAGAATGTTGATGTTCCCGTCTTAAAAATAATCCTTAGTATGGGATCATAAAACTTATAGCCCCTAGAGCGTTCAGAGTACCCAATAAAGTAGCTGCTAAATGTTTTGAAGTCCAATTTCTTTTTATTTGGCCTATAAGACCTTGCCTCAGCTGGACATCCCCAAATATGTAAATGCTTTAAACTGGGCTTTCGACCAGTCTAAAGCTCATAAGGTATTTTAGCAACTACTTTACTTGGTACTCTATTCAGAATGTAAGCTGCTGTCTTTAGTGCTTCTCCCCAGAGAGACTTTGGTAAAGAAGAATAAGAGATCATACTTCTTATTTAATTTACATTTAGTACCACGTGATTCCACATGCAAGGATTCATTATAAGAAGCAGTTGTATCAAGCAAATATAGGTTGTCACAAGTACTCAAGTAACCAGTTCCTACAATAATTGAATTAAAAGATAAATTAAATTGATTGTTTCCAAATGAACAAGAGTAACCTGATTTGTCCAATACAGAAAATGAAATCAAATTCCGTCTAAAAGACGGTACTACAAAAGTATCTTTTAAATCCAAATATGAACCAGTTCCTAACAGCAACCTAAAGTGCCCAATTGCTTCTACATCTACTGACTGACCATCGCCCACAAAGATGTATCTTTCACCATCATTTGGCTTCCGGTAGCTCAGGCAGCCCCTTCTTAGCACGCCAGGCGTGATATTTGGTACAATCCTTCTTTACGTGTCCAGACTTGTTGCAGAAGAAACAACCCTGACCATCCTTATGTTGTTTCTTCTGAACAGGACCCTTAGCAGCTTCATTATCATTCTTTCTTTTCTTGCCCTTATCCTTAGAGGCATAGACCAAATGAGCACTTTCAGTCTTATCTTGCTTCAACCTGTCTTCTTCTTGCACACAGTATGAAATGAGCTCATTTAGATTCCATTTCTCCTTTTGACAGTTATAACTGACCTTAAACTGATTGAATTGTGCAGGAAGAGACAACAGAACCAGATGTACCAATAACTCATCACAAAGATCGAGTTTAAGTACCTTAAGCTTTGAAGCAATATGAGACATTTTCATAATGTACTCCCTGATATTTCCTTTGCCCTTATACTTCATTGAAATCAAGCGAGCTAAAAGTGTGCTTGTTTCTACCTTATCGTTTTTCGCAAAACGCTTCTCAATTTCGGCAAGGAAATCTTTAGCCTTAGTAATCCCTTCGGATTCTATGCCCCTGAAGGCTTCCGGAACGCCGCGCTTAATGATCATAAGACTCATGCGATTTGAACGCTCCCACTTCTCATGCTCCTTCTTTGCATCAGGAGTGCTATCCGCATTGAGAGGTTGGGGTTGTTCAGTTCTTAATGCATAGTCAAGATCCATGCAGCCAAGAACAATTAATATGTTCTCTTTCCAAACCTTGAAGTTTGTCCCATTTAGCATGGGAATTGAGTTGATGTTAGCAGAAATTGTTGCAGCAGATGCATTAGCTGAAATAAAACAAAAAATGCTCACATCAATAACCATAATCAATAAAATTCAAATAATGACAATCCCCATCCAAGATACCGGCACAACATTAATATCAAGTCTTTGGACAGTAATATTAACTTGTAAGTGATACCTTGTTGCAATGATCAAACATTGACAATAACTCATGTCAAATAATGAAACTATCTTTGGATCGATTCATTATTCACATGTAAACCTTATAATTGTCACACGCTTATCATCGCAGATGTGTATACAGTCTAAATAAATATTAACCTTCCTTTGGGCCGATTAAATATTTACACGAAAGCATACACACAAACATCTCACATTCCTCATGAACAATCTACACAAGAGAGGTTACTTTGGCAACTTCTTGTTTCAATTAATCAAAGGTTCAACTTGAGAATGAACGCGAGGTTCGTTAAAAAAATGAACGCGAGGTTCGACTGAAGTACGAACGCGAGGTTCGACTGAAGGACGAACGCGAGGTTCGACTGAAGTCCGAACGCGAGGTTCGACTGAAGCACGAACGCGAGGTTCGACTGAAAATGAACGTGATGTTCGACCTGAGAATGAACGCAACGTTCAACGAACGCAACGTTCGACGAACGCATGTTTCATTAGAGAACGAACGTGGGTTCGTTTGAGAACGAACTCAGGGTTCGTTTGAGAACGAGCTCAAGGTTCGTTTGAAGCTTTCAAGCCTCGCCAAAAATTGAGGTAACCACCTCCTTAATTTGCAAGCCTTGCCAAAAATTGAGGTAACCACCTCCTTAAATTGAGGTAACCACCTCCTTAATTTCCGCACGTTTTCACGCGCACGAACCCCTTGAGGGTTTAATCTGAAACCGCCGCCGCTGAATCAACTCCGACGAGGAGTTTTGGAGATTGACGACAAATCAAAAAAATCCCAAAAAAAGATAATTATTTTTCTGTCGTTTTTTTTTGAACTCAAATCATTTAGATCCAAACCTCAAAAATTGAATCAAACACAAAAGGAATGAACTTTAGAGTTCATAAATGCTACAGATCCAAAAATCGATAGAAAAACCAAACAACATGAGAATTTTACTATTCATCCGAAAATAAAAATCTTTACTGTTCATCCGAAAATATATTTTTACTGTTCACCCGAAAATAAAAAATTTCCGTGCACAAAAAATAAAACGGTTACTGTTCATCCGAAAATAAGAAACTTTACTGTTTATCCGTTAACGGATCCGAATCAAACACAAATTAAGATCAAAGAACCCTAATTTTAATCTTAATCTCTTAGAACAAATCAAAGGTGGCTCTGATACCACTGGTTAGATCTAATAAAAACTTGAGATCTAAAACCATAAAGCCATGATTGAATTCAAAGAGATTAACAATAATCAAAAGGTGCGGAAGCATACACCTGAATCCATTGAAGAAAACTTGATTAGGGTTTTGATGATCTTCTAACCTTAGGGTTTCTCTCTTATGGATCTCTTTAGATGGAGATAAGAGAATGAGAGTGGTTAACCCTAGATTAGGGACCATAACCCCTTATATATATGTGTTGTACATTTGTAATTTGGCCCCTCATCAAATTACAATTACAATCTGGTATCTGCACATATAACCCCCATGATTTATTTAAATACCTATTAATCCAAAATGATTGATCACTTT